CCCCCATTTTCCTCCCCAAAAGCTAAGCTCAATCACATAGCTTCGTAGCGAAGCACGGGTATCAAGCTAGTGCCTAATAAAAAAAACCTACGGCTTTCATAAAGGACAAACAGTCTTTGATCAGATATTGTTGAACTCTGATGAAAAATTAATGAAGAAAATATATAATTTTTTTTTATTAAACTGGAAAACGGAGGATGTAGAAGGCACAATGACACAGTGGGGTAAAAAACTTTGGTTATAGTATAGAATTGGAGAAATGGCAAAACTTATGGGAAAGGAACTATACATTGACAATGGCAACTTTTTATCAAGAAAATTTATATAAAATGTTTTATAAATGGCACTTACCGCCTGCTAGGTTAGCTAAAACATTTAAAAACTTATCTGGCACAAGTTGGAAATGTGAAACCAAATAATGTGCACTTATGATTATATGTGGTGGACTTGTGTAAAAGCAAAAAAAATGGGCAAAAATACGTAAGTGGTTAGAAAAGATGATAGGAGAACCTGTAGATTTTAAACCTGAACTGTTTTTATTAGGTGTAATATCAGACTGTTCGCTTTTCTCTTTAATAATAATATCAGACTGTTCGCTTTTCTCTTTAACTTTCTCTCCAAGGGTCTGCAGCATCCTTGCTTGCTCTAATTTCATCTCAATCCCAAACCAGGGGGGTCTTTCCCTCTTTTTTATTTTTTAATTGTTCTTTTTCACATTTTACAAATCTTGATCTAAACAGTAACGGTAAAGTGACATCTTTATTCCATATATCAATCTCATGTAAATATATACATTTATATACATTCATATACATTTGTATACAATTTTCTTATCTTTATTGTTCTTATTTCTATTGCTCAACCATTTGTACCAATTATCCCAAACTTTGTGACTCTTCTTTATCCTTGAATGCTATCCTTGCTGATGTCAATATATGTAGTAGAATATATTTAATCTTTTTACTATATTTTCTTTTAATTATTCCCAACAAGAACAATTCTAGTTTAAACTCTATCCGATCTTTCACTATTTCTTGTATCCAACTCCATATTTTGGTCCAATACCTTTGGACTTCGGGGCACAACCACCACATATGGTACAGCTACCTTCTTTCCTAATGACCTTATCAGACAAATCTTGGCAACAAGTTAAGAGTCCCTAATCCCTCCAATGAAATATGTCAGATAAAAAGGATTACCTATCCTGCCCTCAGCTAAAATTAGACCTACTTTTTGCCTCTTCTGGGCATAGACATTCTTGTGCCTGGATGTGTCTACATAGAGAGGCATACACATGTGCACAGAGGAAGCTTCCCTCTCATTCCTGAACCTGAAATATTCAGTTTATGATATTTTCTAGGAGGGTATATTTTCCCCACACCCACATAACCATAAGAAAAGCAGGTGGTGGTGCTAGAATACATGCAGAAATTATACAATTTTATTTCCTATATTTATACAGCAGATCTTGCATCACAGACAGTGGTTTACACAAAATAAAAAATATAAAAGCCATAGCACAATTAAACTAGAGAATAAAACTTTCATGGTTCAAGGCCTGAATATCTA